TTCCTTGAGCTTTAAATTTTCTTCGTTCATTTTGTTCATTTCAGCTTTCAGGGACCGGATTTCGAAGTTCAAACTTTCAAATTTGTCTTGGATTAATTCATAGACCGATTTAATTGAGTATTCAGGTTCAGTAGTCTTTGTTGATAAATCTTCTTCCGGTTCGAAATAGTCTTTTATATTAGCATACCTCGAGATATCTGTAGTGCTCTTGGAATGTTCCTCAAATAAGTATTCCTCTCCTGACATTTCGCTTGTCTGAGTATTTTCTTCTATATCTCTTGTATGCTCTTTACGTGGTCTCCCTCGTCCCCTTTTTTGCATAACTGCTTGACTTGATATTGGAGGAGATCGAGGAAAAGGTCCGGGATTTAACTCAATTCCGGCAATCATTAGTAACATAAAAATTATTATTCTAGTTAATGCAACATTTGAACTACTTAATTCAGTTCTACACTTAATATTCTGTTGTAAAAATTCCATGTCTAACGTCGCCACGACAGCTCAGCAAAAAAGTCACCAACACCTCCGCAGGCTAGACACGCCCCCCTGAAGAAATAAGTTTATTTGAAATTAATTTAATATTAATTTGTATTTGAAACAGTATATCTGTTACTTCATTCTTTTTTATTTATATTTAGAAAAACTGGAAAAACCAGTATATTTTTAATTCATTTATTGTTATTTGCATTTTAATAAGTTTATTTTTTTATTGTTATTTATTCATATTTAAAAAAAGGAAATTTATATTCGATTTATTTATTGTTATTTGTATGTTAAAAAGATTATTTGTTTTTTTATTGTTATTCATTCATATTTTAAAAGAAGTTTAGTTTCAATTCATTTAATGTTATTCGTATTCAAAAAAGTTTATTTGTTATTTATTGTTCTCTATTTATATTTAAAAAAGTTTATATTCAATTCGTTTATTGTTATTCATATTTTAAAAGTTTTATTTGTTGTTATTTATTTATAATTTTTTTAAAAATTTTATGTTTAATTTATTTATTGTTATTTGCATTTTAAAAAGTTTGTTATTTATTGTTATTTATTCATATTTTAAACAAAGTTTAGTTCCCAATTTATTTATTGTTATTTGTATTTTAAAACAATTTATGTATTATTAATTTGTATTTTGAAGAATGTTTATATTTGATTTATTTTCAAAAAATTATATGAATTTTATCAACATTTGTTTAATTTATTGTTGTTTTTAAATTTTAACTAAATAATAAGTATGTAATTTTGTAATTTTAAAATAACGTATTTATTAAATTAAATGTTTTAAATGAAAGTTTTTGAATGAATTATTAAATCGTCTTTTTGTAAGAAATTTATTTCAAACAACTTTATAAGATTATTATAATTTTTAATGTGAACAAAAATTACCATGAAAATAATAAAAGCTCTTTCATTTATTGATTATTGTAAAAGATTAAAAGAAAAGAAATTGTAAAGTAAAAGAAAAAAACAGCCAATTAATTGTTATAACATTCACAACATTCAGAAGAAAAAACGAAGGGAATAACCGTGATCGTTCTTTTTAACTATCGTTAAGTTACAGTTGTTATTTTATCAATATAACATAGGCACATATACCTCAAACTATACTGGGGAGAAAAAATTAAAAATAACCAATTAAAGTTAATTCTCATTACATTAACTTTTTTGGAATAAAAACATGACTATTCAGAAAACTTAAAACAAAAGAAAATGATAATGAACAAGAGAGAGAGAAGGAAAAGAAAAGAGATACGAAAAGAGGGAAGTGAACATAATGTCTTGAAAGAGTGTAAACTCAGAAAGATTAGAGAAAACACTTTGGGATTTTTTCGATTTTCACGGCCCCCAAGTCCCCACAATTATATTCCGAATATTTTATTACACAAAATACCTGCATTTCTTTGGCAACTTTTCTTCTAGAAAGAAACATTTGTTTCTCTTATTTTACATACGCGTTTTTTCTAATAATATCTTATATAAGTACGTGACCGTAATGTATTTCGGTAGAACAGATAATGAACAGTTCGTATCGTATGGTATAAGTTCTCAATGTTTAGAAAGCTAGATTATATTTTAATGCGTTAAATCTCTCTTTTATTTATTATAGAAAATAATTTTCAACGTACATAAAAATAAAATGTATGAATTTGCACAATCGTATTTTCCCGAAAATTGATAGGATACGTTAGAAACTGCGTCAGACGGATTACAAAACGTTTTATGCAAGAAAACTTGTCTGCTCACTTCTACAATTGATATCAAAAAGGAAATTCAGGCATTCGGCCCTGAAAAGTTGTTTCCAATGACATCTTATACATCGAATACGACTATTTATGAATGGAGAAACCCTTTCTATACACATATCAGTTTCAAAAAACGTAAGTATAAATACCAGGCATGTTTGGAAATCATTTGCAATTGTAGTGTTTACAAAGGTAACAGAACCTACATGGTTAGTTGTTGCTTGATTTCCTTACAAAACGATGAATTTTGATATCAGTTGTGACCAGCTTTGGTGATAACAGTTCATTTATTTGATAGCATTGTGTAGGCTGAAAGCACCCAAAATCCTTCTCTAAATGCATAATGTTGTCTCTAGATGATAGGGTGATAACAAAAAAGTATGGTTTTGTGACACCACCAAGAAGTCGCCAGACAAATGGTTAAATCGTACTGAAATTTCCAATGATTGAATGCATGTAACAAGTAATTTATTTTATCAACAAGTCATTTGCAAATCGTATCTTAACATGCCTCTTACGAACTTTTGTAATTATGTGTGTTTTCTAATCATATAGTTTTAAACAATTTTTATAATAAATATCATTCATCAATCCGGAATTGCCGAAAAACTGCAAAATGATCAGGACGAAGACGTTCGAAGAAAAAGGGAATTTTACGAACCGGTTGACGCAAATGAAGACATTGCATTAAATTAAAAATAAGCTTTTCGTATTAGGCTTCAATTTTATGTATTAATTTCGTTTTGAAAATTAATAACAAATGACGGACAGGCGGACAGTCGATATTGGGAATATATAGGTTTCAATTTGAAAATTATAGTCTAATCTTTTCTCATATTATTAATTCAAGTATTATCTCTCCTGTTTGGAAACAGGCTAGTTTTAGCAATTCTGAAGCCAGGCAAATTTTCAGACGATTCTAATAACTATCGTCCTATCTCCCTCCTTTGTATTCCTTTTAAAATTTTGGAAAGAATAATCCATAAAAGAATTTCTCTAATTATCGAATCCCATCTACCTATTGATCAAGCTGGCTTCAGATCTAGACTGATCAGGTTTTAGCCCTCACTATTACTATTCCAAAGCTGGATTCCAAAGAAAATTAAAAACAGGTGTAGTGTTCATTGATCTAACTGCCGCGTATGATACCGTGTGGAAAGATGGTCTACTTTTTAAACTTTCAAGTATCATTGACTGTAAAAAACTTAAATATTATCAGATTAACTGGTTTTAACAAGTTTTTTTTTATATAAACTCGTTTTTAACAGAGAAAAACAATAAGAAAAGCAGAACTCATACTCTTAACAATGGTTTACCCCAAGAATCAGTCATGGTTCCATTGTTTTTTAATCTTTATATTTCATTTCCGATATTCCAACTACAAAATTTTTAAAGTTTTTATATAAAATATTTTTAATCTTTTTTTTTATATTAAAACGTTTTTTTAATAACAAAATGTCATTAAAGATGGCGCCAGACACAACATTTAATTTGTGTCTGGAATCATCTTTTATAACATTTATTTACTTGTATTATGTGTATTTATGTTTATATTTATTATAGAATCGTATTGTACACCATGTAGAATTTGAATATTGTACAAGCCAGGATATCCGAAGATATTTGGCAACCCGTTGATGGTATTAATCAGTCAGAGACTTTGCCCAAAAGCACACGCCGACTACCATCGGAAAATGGGTCGCTCTT